AACAGCAGAAAAACCTAATATTAAGCCCATGAAGCAGGTCATCTCTTAAGACTTTACTGTCAGCCATTTCCCCAACCACTTGCCAGGGAACATGACTTCGGTTAGACTCTCAGCTGTTCTCAGGGCATGGGGAACATGGACCCTGCTGCAGTGGGGGATTTGGGAAGCAGAAGCAGCCTGGAGATGAGCACTGCTGGACTCTGCCAGCCTCAGTGTGGGCAGTAGTGCTATATGAGCCTATATAGGATGTAGGTTGGTATAATTTCCTTCTTTCAACTTGAATTCATTGTTTCAACATAGTGTATTAAAGTGGGCCAGATTACCAAATCTTAAACGATCAGTTTATTCTAAGTCATTAGGTAATGTAATTTAAAGGTAAAATAATTATATTATGCATATGGTCAAGCAATAAGAGATGTGTTTAACAGTAAACAGCATAATTACTATTTCATATGTGTTTGCAAGGACTTTTTTCCCTACATACCTGGCATGTAGTATGCTATGGTTGGCCATTTTTTAAAAGACGCTTCAGTGATTTTGTTATGGCTCTTTTCAGCCATATAATATGACTACACGTGATTTCTCCAGTGATACACATTCTCTGCTCATGAACTGAGGATTTGCAATAGGCGCAAAAGAACCTGGCTCCACGATAGCTGTTCTTACATGCTATAGTTCAATAAGTGACAAAGGAATTTGACTTTTGCTGTTTCTTTAGCAGAGGAGGGAAAGTGTAGGGAGAAGAAATATATTCAACTCTTTAAATGCTATATCTTATTTCCTCCTATCATGGTAGTAAAGGAAGAGGAGATAGTCATAAGAACACTGTGAAATTTCTCACATCCGTGAATCACAATAGGTAGGGAGATTAGAGTACTTTAAAAAAAAAGTTGACAGTAACCTTCATTTCAAATACAGAGTTATAATCCCAAAGCACAGGCGTATCGTGTCAGAATCCTCCGGGACTCCTGTAGTTTGTCACAGGCAGCAGTCCTGGCTCATTTTTTGTGCTTGCCCTGTTCCTAGCCTAGTTCCTAACTTTAAAAATGTTTGTTGAGGGCTTCCCTGGTGGCGCAGTGGTTGAGAGTCTGCCTACTGATGCAGGGGACACGGGTTCGTGCCCCGGTCCGGGAAGATCCCACATGCCACTGAGCAGCTGGGCCCGTGAGCCATGGCCGCTGAGTCTGCGTGTCTGGAGCCTGTGCTCCGCAATGGGAGAGGCCACAACAGTGAGAGGCCCGCGTACCGCCAAAAAAAAAAAAAAAAAAAAAAAAAAAAATGTTTGTTGAATGAATGAATGGGCAAGTGGACAGTGGTGGGGAGGGGAGATTTCTTCTGAGCCCAGATGGGAATCATTGATGATGCTAATCCAAAAAGTCATGCATGTGGTGAAACAAACATTTGCTACCAGAAACTTTTGCCCCTTATCCCTGTCCAAGGAGGGTCTCATGCTAGCACCATCTGCTGGGGGCTTCTTGAGATGCCCATGCAGACAAGTCTTCTAGGTTAGCCTGCCACTTCCTCAAAAGCTGGCGGACCCTATTTCTGATCCAAGTGCTGCAGAATATTTTTGTCTGCTCTTACCTTTTTATGGATGCCATTGAATATTTTATAGGATCGTTGGTGTTTTCAGCAAATCCTATTTTCAATATATCCTTGAAGAAACAGACATAAAGATGATCTGCTTTTAAATTCATGTATGCTTATATCTCATGCTAAGAAAAAACATTCTTCATTGAAATTGAAGCAGTTTATGTAAAATGACTAAGTTACTAAGTATTTATAAGCGAATTGAGAGGATGAGTTTTATCTAAATGCTCTGCAAAAGCATACTGCAGGGAAAAGCACAGCCTTCTTATCATAACCAACATATGAACCTGCTATTAATGGATGTAAACTTAACTTATCCTGCAGAAAGTAGGAGTGGATCCTCTGAGCTTAACTTGAAGAAGGCAGGCAATTTTTTCTCTCATTATTACTTGGTCTAAGGCACAGAAATTCAGGCAAAATTTCCTGTCATTACTACTGAGTCTAAGGGTGGAAATAAAGGTAAATACAGCAAATACCCTATAACACTTCACCGTCATTTGTAATTTTAAGCATAGACATCATTAGACAATTTTAAAAAGGAAATGCAGATGGATTAGTCCGCATATTAAAAAGCACATGATAATGCTAACTTTGATCTTGAATGAGAAAGGAAAGCTCTGGGCACTCCGAGCAAGGTTCTAACCATAAGTCTGGCCTCAATCTTAATGTTCCTTATTTTTTTTATTGGAGTATAATTGCTTTACAATATTGCATTAGTTTATACTATACAGCAAAGTAAATCACTATATGTATTTCTTTTTAATAAGTTTATTTATTTATTTACTTTTGGCTGCGTTGGGCCTTTGTTGCTGCGCGTGGGCTTTCTCTAGTTGCGGCGAGCGGGGGCTACTCTTCGTTGCGGTACGCGGGCTCCTCATTGCGGTGGCTTCTCTTGTTGCGGAGCTCGGGCTCTAGGCGCGCGGGCTTCAGTAGTTGTGGCACGTGGGCTCAGTAGTTGTGGCTCACAGGCTCTAGAGCGCAGGCTCAGTAGTTGTGGTGCATGGGCTTAGTTGCTCCGCAGCACGTGGGATCTTTGTGGACCAGGGCTCAAACCTGTGTCCCCTGCATTGGCAGGCGGATTCTCAACCACTGTGCCACCAGGGAAACCCTATACGTATTTTTTTAATACCTGGGGCAAAAACCTGGCTAATGATGTCCAGCAGCTCTGCCCAGAATACAGTCTTATTTCTAAAGTGTTTGGCTAAAGAGGGCCTGGGTTTTTCGCCCTGGTCTGAAGTTGTCAGATGGTTCTCAGCCCAGGGATATAAGTTTCACGAGAGCAGGCCTAGTTGAATTTTACCTTTTCTACAGGAAATTAGATGTTACATTGTCTTCAGCACACCCTTTAGGCTCCAAGCCCTTTAAGAGGCTGTATCCAGGCCAAATATGTGTGTTAGATAAGCTTTGTTCAGGCCTGAGTTATGGTGCTGTTGACTGTGAGTTAAAGGTTAATGGATCAACAATATACATGAAATAAAGTCTCTTTAAAGAGAAATACAGAGAAAACAAAACCTTGTTTTATCAGGAAAAATTTTTTTCAGCTGGGCACACAAGGACAGATTATAATGAGCTGATGTAAACAATTCAAATATTTTTTCATGTTTGGTTGACTATCAAGCCCAAATAAGCATGTCTTTGAATAACTTTTGTAAAGGTTAATCGGTGCAGGACCCTGGAATTTCACCAGTTGTTACTTCCATGATACATGCTTTACAAAGTCACTGTCCTAAGCCATTTTCCTATTGGCAATTTTCTTAGGTATTTATCCTCTGGTATGCAATGTCTATTAGTGATTGCATTATGAAACCCCATCACTGTCTGCTGGAGTCCACATAGGCATGAGACACTACCATCCTCCACAAATGGAGTCAGAGAGACCACAGGAGGAGACTCAGAAAGCAGGGACATGGTGGCAGCAAAAAACAAAATGAGACAGAAAGGGCAGTATTTCAGTTTAAGGAAAACTAGAGAGCATCCCAAACAAGGTCTATTTCTGTTGAGGGCTGCATTCAGAAGACGACCTGTAGGAGTTGGAGATTTCAAAGATGAAGGAATGCTGGCTGATATAAAGGTCCAGCTCACAATCATGGGAGGAAGTGGGGAAAAAAACTGATTGGAAGTGAAAATAGACATCAAGTAGTCAAAGAACTATGTCGCCCTAAAAATGGCAGGAATTGGGGTGGAAAAAAGGATCCATGAACGAAGCACTACAGTTCTCCCTAAATACAGAAGACTGTGTGACCCAGAGACTGGAGGTCATATCGAGCGGGCAGAGAGGTGGTGTTGTAACCTGATGCCATGGGCTTTGGTACATCTTTATTTAAGAATGGAGCAGTTATTCTTGGAAAAGACTTAGGGTAGATTGCTCTAGGTTCAGAAATTGGCAGGAACCTGGTGAGGTCGGAGAGCAGCTCCCCGCTTCCAGGAAATCTTTCTCCTCATGGAAGTGTTAGGATGTGCTAGGAGAATACTAAGAAGATAACGAAAATGTAGAAGAACTTGTTCACAGTAATCTTGGATTCCACTGGGCACCGTCTAAGGGGCGAAGATAAAGAGCAAGCAGTGTTTGAGGAAGCGTCCGAGGGTGGAAGAGTAGAGCCGTGAAAAGTGGCCAGAGAGGCCTGACTTTTGGCTTGGGTCCCATGATTACCAAGATGAGAAGAAGGGAAGGAATTTACTAGCCAGAAAAGGTTCCTAAATTTGATATGAACGTTATAATGAACATTATCTTAATGCTAGAATTGGAGCAGGTCTCAGGTGTTATCAGGGTCGATGCAGAACTTCCCTCTTCGTGGCACACTAAGTGTCCCATAGCCTGGGGGAAGATTTCTTTCCACTATTGCTTGCTGAGCTGCGGTCCAGGTGTGGGTGAGGTCCTAAGGATGGTTTACAAAGCTCTTTATCATCCATCTGCATCTCCTACTGTTTCTCCCACTGTTTCTCCCTGGCGCGACTAAATGTCCAACAAGGTTTCCCTTTCCACTACCAAGCTCCAGACGGGCACCACGCGTGTGGCCTCTTCACCTCTCCCTGGGGAACTCTTCATCAAATTCAGGCATCAGCTAAAAAGTCCATTGCTCTGTGAAGTCTTACTCACCTGCCCCTCTTCTCCCCAAGCTTCACCAAATTCCTCCTTCAAGTCTTCAACCAAACTGAAGGTGACCTGGAGGGGCAGAATTGGACCGAATTAGACAGACATGGTGTGCCCTGAGACCCCTAAAAACATGATTAATGTTCATGTCTAATGGAAGAAGCATGAGCAAAGTTTGACTGTAAATCAACACGTAAACATATGTATCTGGGAGACGAGAGCCAGTGACGTGTTGTGAAACCTCCGGAGCCCAATTGCCTGTGCTCAAGTCTTGCGCAAGCAGCTCCACGGCCTTGAGAAACTTACATTACTTCTCTTCCCTTCTCTGTAACGTGAGGACCATGATACAGGTTTTTAACAGAGAAGTGCTATGAGACTTAAATGAGCGAAGTAATATAAAGCTGTTGGAACTGCTCCAGGCCCATGGTGAATACGCAGTAAGAGGTAGGTATTATTTCGATCAGTACAATGTTTAAAATTCTCTTGACTTTAATTGAGAACTGATGTTGGATTTGGTTACATAATGTATTTTGTTTTTCCTTTGCTTTGTTCATTATTTGATATTTCTGTTTTTCTCTTTCTTTTGGAAGAATTCAAGCAATAAAAAGTAAATTAAAGAAAATCATTAGGAAACACTTTAATTTTTCCTGAGCTTAATATAGCTCATGCATCTTTTCAAATTATGATTTTTTTATGCTTAAGAACACAAACACACACATCATAATCATTTAGAAGTAATTTTAAAGGGTTATTTAGGTGCTTATTTCATATTCTACCCATAATATTTGAAAGAGATTGCACTAAAGTATTTTTAAATGGGTAAAGCAAATAAGAATATGTTTAGACAGCATGAAACTCTACTTCTTTTTCTTACCAGTTCTTGCTCTTACAAGTCTGTATGTTTGGTTTTTTTTTTTTTTTTTTTGCAGTACGCGGGCCTCTCACTGTTGTGGCCTCTCCCGTTGCGGAGCACACGCTCCGGACGCGCAGGCTCAGCGGCCGTGGTTCACGGGCCCAGCCGCTCTGCGGCATGTGGGATCTTCCCGGGCTGGGGTACGAACCCGTCTCCCCTGCATCGGCAGGCGGACTCTCAACCACTGCGCCACCAGGGAAGCCCCTGTATGTTCTTTTATACAGGGCTTTCTTCCTTGTACTTCTTATTAGAAACACATGAGAATGTAAATAACGGTAGCTCTTCAGCTGAAACTGCAAAGTGAAATGTATTCTGTGCTTTAGTGGCGTTTACTCCACTCTTAACATAAAATAGCAAGTGGAAGATTTCAAGACTTGAGGTCTATTTATTAACAGGCTGCTTAGGACAGCACTTGTACTGTCCTTTCCTGGAAATCTCACTAACTCAACAGTAGTCAATCCATCATAGCTTCACAAAGGAGGCGATGAAAAGCATGCCTGTCTGCTGCACTTGAAATTGAAATTAGCCTGATTGGATTGCACAAACAGTCCTCTGTAGTCAGCCCTGGTTGACTTCAAAGGATTCATATGCATGGAAGAAAAAAAATGCAAAGCTACAAAGAGTTGAGAATGTGGAGCAAATAATGTCATTTTTTACTTAAGGCTTAAAATAACAAGCAAAAGAAAACCAAGAAAACCCAAAACCCTGCTGTTTCCAAACAATTAACTTTGAAACTATATGTGATTAGCCTATTTACTTGTCATTTAATAGCTACAGGTGGCTCTAAACATTACTACTGAAGTTTAAGGCAATTATCTTTATGTACCTTTTGAAATGCATCTTGCTTCGGTAAGTGAAGAAAATGGATGCTATTCCTGAAATCCTGCAATGTTTGTTTACCATTTACAGTGGGCGCGGCAAATATCAGTGTGTGTAGGGCCAGGCAGGAGTTGTAGTAATGGAAGCAGCATGGATGGAAAATGTGATGAACTTGTTTAAAGGGGAAGCCATGACTCGGCATCAGCGAACTGCTATCTTGCAGGGAGAAGAAACAGCATTGCCTGCTCTAACGACTGTCAAGTTTTTCCACAATTGCAGTTAATTAAGAAATTAAAACATTGTGTGGGCTAACAAGAGTCATATTTATTATATTTCATAGAAAAATCAGTTGTGAGGGTGTGTGGAGCAAAAGACGAAAAGGTAGGGTTGCTTGAAAATTAGTCACTACAAGAAATCTCTGTTTCTTCTAAGTTGCAGGAGTGAAAATGTTGCCTGAAGGTCAGTGGCAGATACTTCAAACATTCAGATGTCCAAGTTCAGCTTCTTAAGCAGGAGACTAGGAGGTTGCGTTTCTGGGGCTGGGCCATTACTGTTGTTTTTGAAGCTGCCACCATGAGGACGCACATGTCAGCTGCTACAGGTGTAGCTAATATTGTCATTACTTCCTGAATTATTCCCATTCCCTCCCTGTAGCCTCCATCATGGGGATCCCTCAGTGCTGCTACCGCTGCTGAAATCAGTGTTGTCACGACTTCCAGATCTGTTGCCACTGCAGCATTAATATCACTGCAGCTACCACTGAGGGCAGCTTTAGAGGAAGCAGGTAGAGAGTAACTTCTCCCCTCATCCACCAGTATGACTTTCTGTCAGGTCCACCCACTGGCAGATGACATAGAAATGATATGCCAATTTCTTTAAGGGTGCAAAATTCTCCTGAAAATATTAGAAAACTAGGTTGACCATACATATAAAAAATCCATCAGTAATACAGAATAATGGCATTGGTTTTATCTAGTAATGCAGGAATGCTTGAACAATAGAAATTCTTTTAATGTCATTTGTCACATTAACAGATCGAAGGCGGAGAACCATAGGATTGTCTCAGAAGATGTGAGAAAATAACATGATGATAAAATCCAATACCTATTTATATTACAAGCTTTTTACCAACCTAGGAATAGAAGACAACTTTCTTAACCTGATGTGTTTACCTATAACAAAACCATCAACATTATCATATTTAATGTTGAAACAATCAATATTTTCTATAAACACTAAGAAAAGGAAAGAGATGTCTGCTGACAGTCCTTATATTTATTATCGTTCTAGAGTTCCTGGCCAGTACAGTCAGACAGGATGAAGAAATGTTATATAATCAGGAACAGAAAAAGACATCAATTGTCATTGTTTGGAGATGTTTAAATTACCCATATAAAAACCCAAGAAAATCTGTAGTTAACACTATTCAAATCAACAAGGTTTTTAGGTGTAAAGTCAAGGTAAAAAAAAATCACTGAAATTGTTATAAAACAGCAGCAACTAATTAGAAAATATTATTTTTTAAATATACCATTTATATTAAACATTAATGTACCTAAGAATTAATCCAGAGAACACATGTAAGACCTTTCACTTAATTTTATCGAGTGACATAAATACCTATATATACCTAAAAACAAACAAACAAAAAAACATGAGTATACCATGTTCATGGTTGGGAAGGCACAGAATCATAAAGATGGCAATCTATAAATTTACAGTTATTCCAATAAATACTCCACTAGTATTTTTCTTAGAACTTTATCTTAAAAGTCATATTGAAAAATCAATGGAAAGAACAAGCCAAGATTATGTATAATATTCTATCAAATATTAAAACTTAATAAAATTATAATTAAAATAGCTTTCTTTGGCTTAACGATACACTAATAAACCAATGGGGAAAACTGCGTAGCATCAAAAAATAGATCAATGGATATACTGAATATTTTGGACTAGTAATGAAAGTTGAGGTACGACAAATCAGTGGAAAAGTCATACTATTTAATAAATGATGCTGGAATAATGGACTATCCACATATAAATAAAATCTGTATTTTGTATCATATTATGAAAATCTACTTGGGTTAAAGACTTAAATAAGAAAAGCACATCTTTAAAATATTTAAAAGTATATATAGAAAATTAACGAATTTGGTGTAAGAAAGGGTTTATTAAACAAATACCAGAATATAGGAAGAGCCAAAGAAAAGACTGATAAATTAGAGTATATGAAAATTTTAAATTCTAGGCATCCTAAATAAAGGTTAAATACCAGCCAGAAAACTGAATTAGGTATTTACAAAACATGTAACTGCAGAATATAATATCCACTGTATATCAAGGATCCCTACAAATCAGTGAGGTAAGTAATTCAATAGAAAAAAATGGTTAAAGATTCTGACACAATATTCACAAAAGATGATAAAAAGGAATAGTGGGTTGTTATGGAAATATAATTTAAAACAACAAGGTGCAATTTAACAACTATAAGGCCGATCGTTGCCAGTTTGAAAATATAAAACCGTGGCAGGAACTCATATACTGATAAGAGGAATTTAAATCTGTCACTTTGGAAAGTAATTTGACAATATATGGTAACATTGAAAAAAAGTATATATATTATATATTGTTATATATATATATTTGTGTGTGTGTGTGTGTGTGTGTGTGTGTATATATATATATATATATATATATATTTTTACAAACAGAAATTCCACCAGGTAAATCTTCTTCCTAGAGAAATCTCCCTAGAGAAATCTATACACATGTACAAGTACTTGAGTACTGACCAAAATCCACAATGCTAGCCCTATCCCAGGACCCCCTTTTCAAACAAAGCTGTTAGGTAGATGGTTAGAAAAGTGACACTTTGTATGGCCCCTGGGACATGCTGCTGCATCAGTACGGCACTGTCTGTCATGAATGACCATAACCCACCTTAGAAAGATTGTAAACACTGAGAGGCTGGAATGCTCCCTTCCCTAAAACTGATCACTATAAATACTTGTTAACTAAACAAAGGAATGTCATTTCTATTATCATCACATAAATAAAGGAAAGTTATTTCTATCATCAAGTCGCAAATACTTTAACAGAGGGGAGAAAAGACCATTTTTTAAAACAATCTCAAAATTTCCTCCAGATTCATCTTGCATTTTGTATGTCTAACTTCTGTATAACACCAGCTTGTTTTATTCACCGTTGGTACCATAACCCATTTAGAAATATGAAATGTCTTTATGACCACATGAGTAATTAACCAAATAAAAGGCAATATATGGGCCAATTATTCCAGGGCATAACCTTATCATTGGAAGGAAATTTGATAATAAAAGGGTTTGGATTACTTTTTATTTTTTCTATTTTAAGAGTATCAAACTGATTCCCAAATAAAATCTAATGCACTAAGACAATATGGTTCAATAAAAGGAACAGCAGCCTTATACCCTTTCTAATGAAGAAAATTAATTTCCTAGCCTATTTGAAATGTCAGAATTCACACTTAAGATTTCCATGAACTAAAATAAATAAACTAATAAGAAACAGTTAAGGGAAAAAACTGAAATAGTAGTGCTATCAAATGGGTTATATGATAACGATTTCCATTTAATAAAGATTTTTGTATATTTTCCTAAATATAAATTCTTCAAGGAAAACAGAATGTTCTGTTAACACAGGAGAAACACTCAAATGGAATAAATGATCTTCCTTTCCTCTTTTGAATAAAATAAATGTCAATTACTTGGCCCATGACACACCAAGTTAGATTGACAGAAAAAAAAGAATGTGGTTAAATAGCTTCTCATTTGGTGCACTGTTTATGTGTTTGGTCTTGATGATAATGCACTGAAACACAATCAATCACTGATTTTAATTTCCTTTATTGTGTTACAGACAGATGAGAAGGCAAGGGAATTGAATGAAGGAGTTGTTCAGCCAGGCTGTGCACCGTCTCTAGATCCGGATGGCACACATATCCTGCGTTCTTTGCAACCTGACTAAGCATGGCTGAGAACCTCCTCACGCAGTCCGTGCAGCTCACAAAGCACTTCCCTAAGAGACGGAGTTCAAAAAAGACTCACCACCTTCCTCTTTTTGTATGTGAGGGGATCATAAAACAAAAAACCTAATTTTCATGAATCACAGAATAAAGACGTCTTATAGTCTGTATGTATTATATGTTCTAAAAACAACAAGATTAGTAATAGTTGCCTTTGACACTACCAGGCACTCAATAATCAAGAGTGTAAAATAGATAGTAGGAAGCAACCACATAGCACAGGGAGATCAGCTCGGTGCTTTGTGACCACCTAGAGGGGTGGGATAGGGAGGGTGGGAGGGAGGGAGACGCAAGAGGGAGGAGATATGGGGATATATGTATACGTATAGCTGATTCACTTTGTTATAAAGCAGAAACACAATTTAGTTGTGTTATTATACTTTATTATACTCTAATAAAGATGTAAAAAAAAAAGAGTGTATTTACTAATACTTTTCATTATAATATGTTGGCAATTCCTGGTTCTTTCTCCCTCTTTCTCTTTTTAACCGGACAGACATTAATAAGAATTTATAATATAAAGTGAATGAAATTATTGTGTAGAGATGAGGATAATAATTTTTTCTTCATTAAGTTGAATATTTTCTATAGGAGTAGAGTCAAACCTAAAGAAATGACCTATAATTAAAGACTTGAAATGTCTTAAGCTTTACGTCCAACAAGAATACAATTGACCCTTGAACAACATGAGGGTTAGGGACCCCGCGACCCTCCACAGAGTCAAAAATCCGAGTATAACTTATAGTCAGCCGTCCACATCCTGAGGCTCCTCCTATCCCGAGGTTCCTCTATATCCTGGATTCCACATCTGTGGATTCAAACAACACGGGATCTTGTACTGCTGTAGTATTTACTACTGGAAAATATCGCATATTACTGGATGCATGCAGTTCAAACCCATGTTGTTCACAGGTCAACTGTACAGGATTTTTTAAGCCTTTTATTCAGCACTCAGGTTTACCACCCAAGCACCATCCGTTCTGAAATCCTTTAGTTTGAGAAATTGTTTCTTCAAGAAACTTCTTCAAAATGCTTGACTTTTCCTGGAAAGCCATACATATAGCCTCTTATCTTGGACATCTGTCAATATACATCAATACAACTGGTTAAAAAAAGTAACATATTTGGTGACTAAATAAGCATCCCTTCTTCCAGACAATCTTCTGTGATGCTCAAGGGGATGCAAACCCTCCCTTCTTGTCTCCCCTCCCCCAAGTTCTCCACCTCTCATGGGGCACCAAATACACAAAAGGCATTTATTTGTTTTTCTGTATCTTGTCCAGTTGACTGTGTGCTCCTTGAGAAACAGAGTCACAACTTCTCCATCCCTGTATCTCCCAGGGCCAAGGACAGTGCCTGGTATCTGAGTTTAATAAAGTGAAAAGGATAGTTGAAGAATCTTTCTATTAAAATAAAATCCACTTTTATGTCCCTTGCCACTGAATCTCTGGATATTTCTGAATAGCCGAGAGCACATTTAAAACATTCCATACTGTTCTGTGTTTTGTTTTATTTTGTTTTTTCATGTAATGGCCATTCAGGTGCAGCCACAAGAGGAAACACAGGAGAGATTTGGGAAAACAAGGTTTATTATACTCACAGGTCCCAGCACACGACGCAGGCCCACGTGGAGAAGCCTCGGGTGATGAGTAGGCAGAAAGCAGGAGTGAGGGGAAAGCCTGGGCTAGACCTTTCCGGGGGCTTCCCGGCAAAGGCAAGGCAGGTTAAGGTGAACAGTTAAGGACTGGCTAGTGTGAATACATTCAGCAGAAGCTTAGCTATGGGATGGTCCCGAGTTGCCTGGTACCTGGCCCTGGGATAATTGAGGCAGGGACTCATTGCCTCCTGGGGTGCAGGGGCCCACAGAGGAGGGCAGGCTCTGAGTCGAACAAACTTCCTGCAGCTCATACTTCAAGGACAAATGGTGGGAAAACGAACAGCCAAGTCCAAGGTCGCAGGTACCTTCTCCACCCTCGCATGGACCCCGAATACCAGGATTAGAATGGGACTGAAACCTATTGCAATCAATAATAATAATCATAAAAGGTGCGTCCCTATAACTCCATGGAACTACTTTCCATAAATTTTCACTTAATGGAATTGAACTGAAAGTGGTTCCAAGGCATTTATAGCATTCTTATTGTCATGTGGGGACACAGTGCAAGAAGCCCCCTTAAATATCAGACCTCAAGGTCAGGGAGAGGAGAAAGACCGCCTTTGTGTTCCCTCCAGTCCTGAAACGTGGCAGTGTGCTAAGTGGCCACACTGATGGAAGACAAGAAACAAAAATATAAAACAGCAGACACTGTCGCCAGGAAAAGCAGACAGAACATTCAATAGAACAAATAACAAATGTATCTAAATGAAAAGGAAAAAAAGTTCTTTTCACTTGCTATAAATAAATAGAATAGCCAGGAAAAGAAAAGTGTACACACAGTGGAAGACACTCTATAATGTGTAACATTATTCATGTATTTTCATCAGTGATACACTTCTCTTTGACTCCGTATGTCAGACAATTGTTACCCAATTAAAAATAAGAGAGTGTATAAAAAGAAAGGTGAAAACAAATATTAGTAGAATGATCACACTGCTTTGGTGGAAGTAGAAGGGCCCCAATGATTGCTTTAAATCACCGTCTCAGACCTTATGAGAGGTTAAGCCTTGAAGCTCCCATTTCCTTTTCTACCTCATAAACTGATTTGAGGAATAATGAACTACTGTTTGTGAAGCACCTATATCTTTAAATAATGACTGTAATAGGAAGGCAGATGAGGGTCGAAGGAGGAAATATTCTTTTCAGAGCGGAACAGGTTTTATCCAGTGACATCATCTCTGAGACTTTGGCTGCTTAGGCTGGGACGCTATTCTGATACCTGGACCTCATCTCTTGAGAAGCAGCGAAGAGTTGTCCACCGTAACTGTCAGTCACTGTGTACTTGATCTCTCTATCAGATCAAAGCCACCACTCAGGTCTCTTTTGGGAGACAAAGCCAAGGGTCATTTGTGCAGCCTCACACCAAAAATTGAAAATTAGGTAACTCTATCACTCCACCTGGAAGAAGAAAACGCATGGGATTTAATTTGTAGCCATGGGATAGGATGTTGAAGAAATAAAACCTCTCTGGCTCCTTGGTTACCAGAAAGAAAAAACAGATAAAGTGCAACTCACTAATACAGGAGTGTCAGAGGTCTCAAAACCGCCAGGGTGTTTATATTTTCTTCAATGCTCTTAACGTTAAATTAGAAAAGATACTAAAGAGCATTGGAACTGATAGAGTATAGAAAGTGATACCAACAAAACTGCTCAGAAATAGAAGGAAGTCTTAGCTTTAAACGTCAGGTCCAAATTGATCTGTAGACAGAGAAAGACTCTCTCCTGGAAAACAAAATTGCAGCCCAATGCTCATCAATAGAGACAAAAGATGAGCCTGGCAAACTCATCACAGTGCCAGTGAGGCTGACAGACCACAGGCCAGAGACAAAGCTCTCTGTTAAAAGCGCAGTCTGAGGCTCTCTACTCAACCTGCCAACTGCAGCCAACATGAACATCTCTTAACAAGAAATGTGCAGGGGGTGGGAAAATGAAGGAGTGATTCACTGAATGAGACAGAAAGCTCCAGACCATTAAAGGCATTTCCTGAAACACCTGGAGTTAGTTATATGCCAAAGCCCAATGATGCAGCAAAAAAGTCTGCAACCAACTGCTCAGAAGAGATCAACATTCAGCAGACCTAAAATTTAGCTAACTATTTATTTAAAAGCCTACACACCTGGGGCAGGGCAAGAGGGACTGGGCTGAGGCAAATATCATTCATGAGAGAGATAATGAGTGCTGAAGAGATCGACCATCTCTTCCTGCCACACTCACACGCCCTTGCGGATGAAGCCTTGTTCAGAGGACTTGGCGTTTTGCATGGGATCTAGATGTGCTGGCTTAACACGCTTAGCTCTGACTGAGTCCGAGTCTGCTGGTCTGGACAAATTTACTCCAAGCTCTTGAGAGGATTTGGGCCAGAAATCATATATGCCCAAAGAGTCAACAGGACAGTGCCGCCTGAAGAGAAAAATCTTTGTGAGAACCGTGGAGATGCTTCGCTAATACCTCTCATCAAGAGAACTTTCTGTGGAAGACTCACAGCCCCCAGCTGCTGCTTCCGAGCGCTCTCAGGTGCCCGTGCTGAGGCCCCGCTTCCCCCTGCTGCCTCCCATCAATGATTGAGGATGGCGGGGCAGCTTGGGCTGAGTCTGCATGTGCCAGACGTGGGGCTCCTCTCACAAGACACCCTGGCTTGGGGACTTCCTATCAGCTTGGTGAGCCCATCCCAGAACCGCACAGTGGTCTGAGGCTCCTTTTTCTCAGTCCTTCCTTTCCCCTCTGCTGTCACAGGAGCCACCACCCCTGCAGGACAGTCTAAGTCTAAAGACTCCTTTCTCCTATTCCTATCCCCTCCCTCTTTATCCTTCAGGGCACTTCCTCAGTAAATTGCCTGTGTGTCTAACCCTGCCTGGTCTGCATAGATTCCACTCATGGAAGAGACGAGAGTGATTTATCAAGATGTTTGTTTAGCATTAGAAAAGCACAGCATGGATTTCGTACAAGTCGTGTGAGATTTAAATGATTTTCTTTCTCAGTAGGGTTACTAGAGTGACACATGGGGGGAAGTACAGAAGACATTTGTATTTTCACAAGGCATCTGGCGATGGCTCACTTATGACTACATTTGGTCTACGAACGCCGTGCTATGACTGACCCTGACTGCACTCGTCCAGGACACTTCAGAGGGAAGGCTGTAAAGGATGCGGTGTGTGGGAGAGGTGCACTCGGGGAAGATGGAGAAGACCACGCAAAGACCCAGCAGGCTAACAGCTGCCACGCACTGGGATACTTCCAGAACATTTACAGTGCATTTATACACATTTACAGTGTATAAAACAAAATGCATACTGTGTATACAAACACAGAAAACCCAAATGTCATCCTTTTGATGAGCCCATGAAAGAGATGATTTCGTCTTGTTAAAGGATGAAGAGCATGGGAAGCTGGTTTAACTTGACAAAGAATGCACCGTTGGTTAAGAAACAGGAACTAAACCTGGACTGTCACC